ATCTCAAAATAGCTAACTCACACACGAAACTTGGGCTCGGTAGGTTAGCGGTTGGACAAAGAAAAAAAACAAAATTGAGATTTTCTGTAAGTCCAACAAGCGACAGTACCGCACACCCCCTCTCCCTTCCCCCCTCGCAACCCACTGGGAACGCACGTCACTCACTCACTCACTCAGTCACATATCTCTCCCCACTTGACCTTTTGAACGAACAAAGGACCTTATCTCGACAAAGAAGGGGAAATATTCTTAGAGTCTTATCTTTCGGCAAAAATTAAATCAATAAGAAATATTTCGAGATAGATTTTTTCTTTATATAAAAGATTTGAAATATGACTTATGATAAGGACGACAAACGGAAAACTTTGAGGTGAGTTATATAATCTCTTTGACGGTGAGAAAGTCATAAAGTAATCTACATAGGATGCGCTAAAGGATTGTGTATATTCATTATTTACACACACACATACATATGTATGTATATATATATATATATATATATATATATATATATATATATATATATATATATATATACTTACATATATATGTATATTTATTTATACATATATACACACACTCACACACACACACACACACACACACACACATACACACACACACACACACACACACACACACACACACACACATACACACACACACACACACACACACACACACACATATATATATATATATATATATATATATATATATATATATATATATATACATATATATATATATATACATATATATGTATATATATGTATATATATTATATATATATGTATATATATGTATATATATATATATATATATATATATATATATATATATATATATATATATATATATACATGTTATATATATATATATATATATATATATATATATATATATATATATATATATATATATATATATATGTATGTATATATATATATATATATATATATATATATATATATATATATATATATATATATATATATATATACATATATATATATATATGTATAGCAGGGGCATCCTGCTCATCAGCAGGCAAACCAAGAAAGGAGAGAAGGGGTCGGAGCCATCCCGGAGGAGGTGGAGTGCGTCCCAGGGGGACACACTCATGGTCTTGGGGGACTTCAGTGCGGTCATTGGCACTGACAAGGAAGGAATGCGAGTTATGCTTCGGTCCCTATGGCTCTTGTACTAGGAATATCAATAGCTCATACCTCTTAGACTTCACAAGATCTAGGAGGCTGAGCATTGCGGGTTCGTGGTACCAGAGACGAGATTTACACCGCTGGACTTGGTATTCCGACACTGGCGTTGTAGCTAAAGAGATTGACCATATTCTTGTGGATATTCGTTGGAGGATCCTTAAGAAATGTAGAGTTTTAGGAGTGCTGAGTTCTTTGCTACCGACCACAGACTTGTTATTGCAACACTAAGGCTTCGCCTCAGATCTAGACGTATCCCGAGATCTCACCAGCAGGTGTTTAATCTCGAGAGGCTCAAGACTGAGGAGGTGGCTCAGGAGTATGTAGTGGCAGTCTCAAATCGGTTTGAAGTGCTTGGTACTCTACAGGACCCTGCACGACATGAGTCGTGCTGCAAGTCTAGATGGGAACCATGTCTTACACAGGGAGCTGTCTCGCTCTGCTTGGGCCTCTTTGAGAATGGACCAAGAAAGGTACGTTAGGGGCATTGTGGAAGAGTTGGAAGGTCATTTTGCCCAAAATGACCTTCGGCCTGATTTCGTGCTGTCTAGTGGGGGAGGGCATCTCTGCCATTTTCCCGGTGTCTGCGTCGTGACACAGGGATGTGTCCTGGCCCCAACCCTTTTCAATATTTGTATGGACTTGATACTTAGCCGTGCCGTGAACCGTAGTTCCAATGGGGCATCATTTGGTAAGTTCAAGGTCACAGACCTTGACTTTGCTGATGATGCAGAGACATTAGAGGTCCTGGAAGTAGTTCTCGAGGCGCTGCATGAGGAAGCGAAGCCGTTGGGACTCTCGGTCAACTGGACCAAGACCAAAGTTCAAGAATTTGGGGACCTGTTGGAGGTCGATGTTCAGTCTGTGCATGCGTGTGGCGAGAACATTGAGGTCTTGGGCAGCTTCACTTATCTTGGTAGCGTAGTTCAGAGCGACAGAGGTTCCGACCGGGAAATTACTCGACGACTCGGTCTGGCTTACGGCGTTATGGATTCACTTAATAGGAGTATTTGACGCTGAGTCGGTATTTGACTAGGAGGACTAAGATCAGGCTCTTCAGAGCACTGGTGATCCCGGTCCTACTCTACGGGCGTGAGACCTGAACACTGAACAGTGCTCTAAAGGCCCGATTTGACTCCTTTGGTCTCGTAGGGTACACCTAGAGGGACCATGTGTCCAATCAGAGGATACTCCGTGAGACTGATTCAAGACCTATTACCAGTCTGATACAGAGCGCCAACTTCAGCTCTATGGGTATGTGGCTTGTTTTCCTGAGGAAGATC